CAGATTATGAAGTTTAAATAAGTTAGGGAAATACCGATAATTTTGACTTTAGACAACTAAGAGTAAGAGATGCCAGGTTTTTGATAAAGGTTTCTTGATTTTAATCAAAGATTTATTAAAATTAATAATATCAAAGATAAGGAGCTGATAAGAATCTTGACAATGCATTATCCATTTTTACACTTAATTTTCTTTTCTTCAAAATTCGTTGAAACCAAATCATGATTCTCAAGGGTTTATCTCGAAATAGAGATATAATTTTTAAGCTCGAACTGTGGCTAAATACGTGAACTGCAACGTTAAATACATTAATCGAATGAAACTTACCTCTTCCAGAATAGGTATCTTATATTAATATCAATGTTTCGAGATTATAAGTAAATATCGAGTAAGAGTTGAAGTCACCCTTAGTTGCGTAAGGTAATGAAGGACTGATAGTGAGATGGGAATACCTTTTGTGAAGCAAGGCTAAGCGAAACTTAATGGAATCGTGAGACGTGCTCATATTAATGCAGGAAAATTCAACTAACAATCCTTCACCATCTTATGCGACCCACTTACTAAAATTCTTATTGGTATATTATGTGATTACCGTTAAAATTTACATAGATTTTGAACAAACTAAACGGTGTGGTCAAAAAAATCTAGAATCTAATCTGAATACCCGGAATAAGCATGTCCGGCCGAAGTTCATTAGCCACATGGTCCACAGAGTTGATTTCCAATGGCCCATTAGAGACATTAACGGCTAGCTCCGAAGTGTTTATATGGTTGCCTGAGATATGTCCTGAGAAGGCCGAGCCGAGCAGCCCAATGCGTGCAACATTGGTGGGAATCGTAGAGTCTGGCTGATCCTCTGGATGAAGGCGAGAATCAACAAAATTTTCATTAGTTGGCTTCTGAGAGAATCGCTTAGGAACCGGCTGGAAAGAAAAAGAGAAAAGAAAACAATAGGGAATAAGAAAAATGCTATTCATGGTTGAGGTTCGAAATCTAGTGTCAGATATGAATAATTTAAGAAAAACACAAAAAGATAGAGAATATATGAAGACCAAGATGTTGTGGTCTCTATTATGATCGCAGTCTCCTTTCAATTTATAGAAGTGGGTTGACCTCGTAGTCGCAACTCGGTCTTGTTGTCAGGGGGACTATGTAGAACGCACCTAGTCCGAAGTCGTCTGCCATAGTAGTTGTCATGA